CGAGCCTTTCCACTCATCCTCTCATTTCAGCTCTGTTTCTCTCTTCAGTTTGTGTTTTGCCGTGTGGCAGCACCCACATGAACCTTCAAACAGAATTTCCACGACCGGTGGCACCTGGGTCCGGCAACCGGACAAAATGCTAACACTACTCAAGCCAGAACTGTCTTTAATGACACTGAAAGGAAAAGGGAAAGAGGAAAAGGGAAAATTAACATAGCTGACAAGGAAAAGAGGATAAACAGCAACGAGTTGCTACCTAATTCCTAGCACAGAAACCTCACTGTCATACACAGATGTTACTTAAGATTAACGTTACCTAAAATTACTATACTATCAAACTTAGTAATACAAAGAAGGAGATAGTCTAACTCAAACCATTTTTCCCCAAACACAGTAAGTCAAAGAAGCCAAAGTTTGAAGAAAAACATTAATGTGATGTCACATGTCCACTACTTCATATCACTGCCTCTGCCTAGAACTGAAGATAGATCTGAAAGAAAAAAGTGCAAGACGGGGAGGACTAGGCTGACATCCTCTTCTTGGGCACAGTAACAGCTCCTAACAGTTTATAAACCAGCTCTTCCCACCGATGACAGCACATTCACCTGGAGGCAGTCGGCAGTCCTCAGGGACTACCACTAAGTGGTGGCTTCGTGGACACCAAGCTCCACACAGAGGCTCGGGATCTGATGAGCAGCTCACCTCAAACAGTCACCTCGAGGCAGCCAAAACCGGGTATGAAACTGTGGTTTTTAGTTACACATACCACCATTAAAGCATTTCTTTTTAAAATATTGCTCCCATGTGCCAGTGCAAATAATTGCTCTTAGGTGTAGCTCTAATGACTGCTTAAATTAAAACAGCAATCGTTTCACTCCTTACTGAAATAAGCTGACGCAGGGAGCTTGGAAAAGTTCTGCAGTCGATCCATACAGGAGCACTGCTTGAAACAACTTCAGCAAGTAGTTGGGGTGAATTACAGCTTGCAGCTAACCACAGGCAGCAGCTCGGAGGCAAGGACAAGGGAAAGAAGAGGAGTAAGAAGGCCAGGTAAGAAAGGCTGCCCCACACTGCCCCTCTGCAACCCAGTACCCCCAGCAGACCCAATTCAGCACTGATTCGGGAGACAAACCCTCTATCTGCTGGATCAGCGCCACAGCTCCGTGCCACAATCCAGGTTTCACTTGGAAACCCTACTGGAATACCAGGCAAGGCCTGCCCCAATTAGCCTGCAGGGAGATCACAGCTAGAGGAGGGAGCTGGAGACCCTTGGAACACTGCTGCTCAAGAGGGATTTATTTAAACAACACATCAATCTTTCTTGAAAAGCACAAAGTATTATTTTCATATTTATTCACATAATAAGGATAATGCTGCTTGTAGAACAACTTTATGGAGTTCTGAAGCATTGTGTTAATGCAGAGAGTGAAACAAGTTGAGCACAGACACCTTCTATCCCATGCTGTGAGTGACACTACAAGTTGTTCCTCTGAGATAAGAGCCATTTTAAAGCAAAAGTAATCAAGATAATGCAGCTATCAGGGATTTTCAGAAGGTTCACACTTGAGCAGCTTGGCTTTTCATTTTCATTACTTCCAATGATCCAGATCACTTAAAAAAAAAAAATCCTTAGCTTGTAAAACAGAACTTCTAATTGAAACCCATGAAGCAGTCATTTCATCTTCTGCTGAAAGATACAAGTTACTAAAAAAGCAAGCCCTTTGTTTTAAGACATGAAATTAGGCAAGAACAAGTTGCCTTTGGGCAATTTTTTGGAATGTCATCACCTACATGTGTAGGGATCAGGAGAAAGGAAAAAGTACCCCTTTTTTCTTTTTTTTTTTTTTTTTTAAATAAGAGGCAAAGATAGTAAGCACTATAATAGCAGTAGGAAATCCTTTTTTCTTCTTCAGTGTTAGTCAGCAGCCCGCTGGCACCCGCGTGGGTGGAGCGAGCTGCACAGCCCCAACTACGCTAGAAGTCCGAGCAAGCCGCGTCACGCTCCGTTCTGCTCTGTGCCTGTCCCGGCCACACTGGGGGGAAAAAAAAGGTTTTAAGAAAAAAAAAAAAAAAATCAAAAACGGCACAGAAGCCCCCAAACTCGTGCGCCACATGAGTGACCTGGGGATTCTGCCGAGGCCGCTTCCTTGCGGACCCCGGATGAGAGCGGGCAGCTCCGTGTCCCGCTCCGTGGCGCGGCCGTGCAGAGCGCGACTCCGGCGGGACTCCAGCTTCCCCTCTCCCTGGCTGCCCGGGAAGCTCCTTTTTGCCCACATTCCTGGGGCTGAACACAAGTTTATCTCCCTGCTGAGGCTCAAGACACACAGGTTCCTCTGCCTTTCTCTCGGCGATTGGTGGCAGTTTGGTAGATCAAAGGACACCGTTAACTTGAGATCAGGTCAATTCGAACAAGAAATTCCCAAGTAGTCTGTGCAACTCTCTCTTGCCCCAGAGCCCCTCCTTCCAAGATAATTGCTGGAAAAACAGTTTGTTTCCTTCTAGCAAGTGAAATATCCACGCAACTAGAGAATATCCACGCAACTGGGGAAACTAACATCGGGGACGTCCACTACAGGGTACATTTACAGTGCTGTAAAATGGACAACATCAGCTTGTTTACTAAAGTCTTTTCAATTACAGTATTTTCAGGTGCTACTTTTCAGACAGCTAAGGCAGCTGTCCCGAATACCCTGTGGAAATCTCGAAAGAGTTAAGGCCCAGACTTCCCTGCATTAACACAGACGTGCAACTTTCTTCAAAGACTGAGCTTCCCTTGGAGCGGGTGCTAAGAAAGGAGACAGGCAGATTTTTAGAAATCCCCCTTAAGCAGCTGCTATCTGAAACTCCATTCACACCTTGTCACATTCCTCTCCTCAAAGAGTGGCACTTAACGTCATAGGTCTCCACTTCCCCCAACAGCCCTGGACTTGAGCAAGACAGACCTCAATATCAAGCTCACCCCTGAGCACCGCTTGAATCCTCACAAGTGGGATTTTTCTGGAGGGTTCACTCCAGCAGAGAGTTTCTTGAACACTAACCAGCCTCCTTGCTGGAAAGGGGCGCAGGATGCACCACCGGAAAAGGAGGAAGTGCGGACATGGACCCAGCGGTGTTGCCTTCTTCTGTGATAGCCTAATGACGGAGCACTTCTGCTCAGGAAGTGAAAGGCTCAAGTTGGGGGCTCTCGTCAAACAAAACGAGATAAACTTCCCATCTCTTTCTATAATCAGGGGCTGTTCTAACCATGCAGCCCCTCTTTCCAGTAGTTTTCCACCACTGAAAGCTGCACAGGAAAAACAAACAAACAAGCAAGGCGGGTGGGCCAAAGCAAAAGGAAGATTTTGTAGTTAAAGGATTGAAGTCCCCAGGATGCAGGAGACAAGTGACAGTCCTTCCTTTCAGAACTGGGTCTTTAAACAGCTGCAAATAAAAACACACTCCAGAACCTCGGAACACATGAAAGGATCCATGTTGTCCCTTCCAGGTCCACATCACTAACCTGGAGAGATCTCCCACCAGCATGGCAGCACGTTTCAAGAGGTATCACGGCTCCACATAATTATTCCTTAGGCAACAGATCCAGCTTAAAAGATTCCCATTCCCAAATACTTCTCTTTATGCACCTCAGCCACATCCTCATGCCACAAATGCTTACTTAATGCACAGGGGACATTACAAACAGGTATCACTGCAAGATCCCTAGAGGTGGCAACGGCCACTACCAGAAAAGAGCCCTACTGGGTTTGGTGCTTGATAGCTAAACAGAGCAGCTCTTTCCCCTTAGCTCCTTCCCCCTTCCCTCAGATGGTCACCGTTTCGCTACCTGGTACTCAAGGATGCTGCTAAGGGGCAGAGAGATGCCCAAGTGCTTTGCAGCGCGCGCGTCTCTTCATGCAGGACGCTTGTCTTGAAAAAGAGCAGCAGCAGCAAAGAGCTCAGGAAAGGATGCTGAGAGAGCTCCCCACTCTGAAAGTTCATAACACAAGAACTTTAAGGGTGGTACAAAAGAATCTGCTGGGCAACGTGCGACGCCACCACCAAGAAATAGAAGACGATGACAATTTCTGGTGTGAGCAGCACACAGTTTGTTGACCCCTGACATTGTTTACGTCCCTCTAAAGTGAGAATTCAGAGCAGCAGACGAGCAGGCATTTCTTTCCCACAGAACTCGAGTGAAACACACTTTGCTAATGCGCCTTTTTTCCCCCCAACTACATATGGATCCATTTTAACTTTTTTTTTTCACGGTGCAACAAGAGCTGCCTTAATAACACAACCAAAACTGTTATTGGGGACAGAGATCCGCATGTCGAAACACTGCCAAATTAATAACGTTTCCTAGCAAACGTGATGTACTTCTACTCACGTCCCATTTGCTGCAAAGGTGTCAGTAGGCAAGGAGATACAAAAAGAAGAGCAGGAAAAAAAACCCAAAACACACACGTATTTGCCCAGGAGCCTCCCCCTCCCCCAGCGCCGGGGCATGGATTTGTCCGCAGCCGCAAGACCTTTTGTTTAAGGAAGAAGGGCGACACAAAAGGTTACCCCGATTATTCCCCACGGGCAGGCTGAACCGCAGCGGGGCAGCGCGGCCCCGGAGCCACGAGGCGCGGCCCCTCCGCGCGGCTCCCCACGGCGCGGCTCCCGTGGGGCGGCCGAGCCCCTCCGCGCCAGCCACCCCCCCAAAGCTGCTCCGGGCTCAGGGGAGAAGGCGGGAGCTCCCGAGCAAACAGAGGATGCTCGGGAGCCGGCGCTGGGCTCGCTCCGCGCTGCGCCCCCTGCTCAAGGGATTCCCCCGGACGGTCACCCAAAACACCAGCGCAGGGGCCGCGAAGCCAGGGCTCGCACAGGGCGCTCGGGGCGCCCCGCGGGCCCCGGCCCCTCGGGGGCTCCGCGGCCGCCCCGCCGGGGCGCAGGTGCCGCCGGCGCCGTCCGCGCCGTCCCGCGCGCCGCGGCCGCGCCGCCAAGACGGGGCCGCGCGGGGCGCCGCGGCCGCCTACCTTGGTGATGATGAGCGGCTCGCCGTGCTCGCGGCCGCCGCGGAGGGTGAAGCCCCAGGGCGCGCCGCCGCTCAGCAGCACCTCCACGAGCCCGCAGCCCTCGGCGGCGCCGCGCCGCCCCGCGTCCTCCATGGCGCCCCGACGGGGCCGCGCCGCTCGCTGCCGGCGCCGCTCGCTAGCGCCGGCCGGCCCGGCCCCACGGGCGGCGGGAGGGCTGCCCCCCTCCTCCGCCTCCTCCTCCTCCGCCTCCTCCTCCTCCTCCCCCAATCCGCCGCATTGTTTCACGCCGCGGAGACGGGGCGGGGGAGGCGGCTCCAACTTGTGGCAACTCGGCGGGGCGGCCGCGAGGGGACGGCCCAGGAGGGGGCGGCCCGGCCCGACCCGGCCCGGCCCGGCCCGGCCTTCGAGGGGCCGCTGCAGCCCGCGCTGCCCTCCCGCTGCCGCAGCGGAGCCCCCGGCGGCGGCGGCGGCCCGGGCACCGCGGCAGCAGCACGAGGAGGAGGAGGAGGAGGGGGAGGAGGAAGGTGGCCCGGCCGCCAGACAAAGGGGCCGGGAGCGCCGGGCTGGGGGGACGGGCGGGAGCTGCGCGGAGCCCGCCGAGCAGGTGGAGGAGGAGGCAGCGCCGGGCCGGGCCGGGGCCCGCGGGGCAGCATGGAGCGCGGCCGGGGCCGCGGGGCCGGCACCGCCGGAGGAGGAGGAGGGAAAGGGGAAGGGGAAGGGGCCCCGCTCGATCCCGGCCTGGGCGGCGGCCCGGGCTCCTCGCGCCGACCCGGGGCCTCGGAGGGGCTCGTGGGACAGACCCTGCCCAGGGGCGGGCGCGGGCAGGTGCCGCGTGCGGAGGGAAGCGGCCCCCGCGTGGCCCTGGCCGCTGTCCCCGCGGCTGCGGGGGGGCAGCCCCACAGCCCCGAGCGGGGCGCGGAGCGGGGCAGGGCGGCAAGGACCGAGCGCGCCCGCGGACGGGAGCAAAGCGCCTGGAGTCGGCGTCGTCGGAGACTGGGGATGAAACACTCATTTCTCGCCGTTTCTTCCTTAGCTTTTCTTTCCGCACTTAGTGCAAACTTTCCGTGGCTTAAAAGTGCCAGCACACAACCTGCTCTTGCTTTCCGGGACAGGTACAGGGTGTGTGAAGGGCTATTGTAAGAGGAACCCAAGGCACAAGAAGGTATTTTCTGCAAGACTAATGAGTGTCAAGATCTTCCTTGAGAACAGACAGCCTCAAGGTGGTACATGCTATAAACAGTGGCACTTCAGAGTTTTGCAAAGTTTTGCATCCAGACATTTGGCTATTTTGCCTTTGAAGCTGGCCCTTTCGATTGTCTAATTCGATCACTTACGTAAAATTCTCCAACTGGAGCCAAACTTTGGTTTCTGGATTGAGAGTATCTAAGGTGAATAATCCCACTAACAGACAAGAGATTTATGGACAGGAGATAAGTATTTGATTAGAATAACTGATTTTCCCTATGGTTAAGGGACAAAATGGAGGGAGAATAACAATTTGAAGCTTAATACATCCCTAAATATGCACATTGAAATGAGAGTGAAATATAGATTACATCATAAATGATAAAAGCAACTTGTACTTCAAAAAATGACTTTTTCCTTGTAAACTTTTTTTTTTCGTTCTCACTCATTCATTCTTCGAGGTCTGGAGCTTTCATTGTCCATAAGAAACTGAAGATCTACATGAATGTTCTGGCTTTTTGTCTCAGTCTTATAAAACCACTGCTGAAGAAAAATGAAAGAATAAGAGTACAGATTTTAAAACGAAGATATAAAAACAGGAAAAGCAAGCTCTATTAAAGGAGCTAAATGAAAATCTAAATCTGCAAGATTCACATCCGTGGAAAATGTGTGCATGTTTTGCAATTGAAAAACTGCAATTCTTTTTAGTGCAGCATTGCAATAAACGATTTTTTGGTGTTATGCAGAAGCGACCCAAATGCCTTTCCTCACCATGCACAAAGAGCCAACAAACCTTATTATCGAACTAAGGTTGTGAGCTCCTGCTCTGGAACAACAAAAAAACCTTTCTGCATTAAAGCAGAAGCCTTCAACAATATATTTTTCTGTGCTTGCATACCTTAATGTGTTTAGTTTAACATTTTAAAGTAAAGGTTTATTTTAGAGAATTTACTAGCTCATGTAGCTGTTGTGCTGGGGTTTTTTTTGTTTTGTTTTTTTTCCTTAGTCACTAAGGCTACAAAAACTGAACAAATTCCTTGATGACAGGATTTTGTTCAAATATTATCACAGCATTCTGTTAAGACAAGGTCTGTTTCACCTTTATGACTATAAATGGTACATCTTAAGATATCAGGCATTGTCATACTTTTTTTTTTTTTTATTTTTATTTTCATTTCAATTTTCCATTAAGCTGTGCAGGATACCTGCAGGATGAGCCTGCAGGTGAGGATATGTTTTAGTCTTGAGAGCATTCAGTATGATGGACCTTACCGTGCTGGCTGGGCTTTTTTCCCCCCTCCCCAAGAGCTGAGATGTTTTGCAAGAAGCTGAGGCTTCTGACTCAGTTCCAGAGTAAAGACCTGAGGTGAGTGAAGCCCTCATGGCTTCCCACTGTTTATTATCACTCCTTTCCTGGAGGTTTCCACCCAGCATCACAACTGGTTGAAGAGTGGTGTTTCTGCCTCAACCATCTGAAACAAACAAAGAAAAAGATGCTTCAGGGCATGCATAGCTTGTTGGCAGTTCAAGTCAAGATGCTGGGCTCTAAAATGGAGCGACTCTGCCACGAGACACCTTCTGCTCCGCGAGCAGGACACAGGAGCTGCAGCCTCCCCCAAGCAGCAGGACTGGACTTAGCCTCCCCAGGGAGGTGGGCCGAGTCAGTAGTCCCGGTCTTTGGTGCTTGTGCCAACATTGCTTCTTCCATGTGGTCAGCTCCTACTGTTGCCGAGGGAATAATGTGTTAATCTTACTGGTTGGTTATATTAACCAACATATCTTCAGTAGTGGAAGATATGTTGGTTTATAGAAACACACATAGAATAATCTTTATAGCGAATATTAATCATCAGTAGTGGAAGATATGTTGGTGTATAGAAACATACATAGAATAATCTCTATAGTGAAGGTGAAAGGATTTGAAGAGCCCTTTAAAGCCAAGGGTTTTGGCACCACAGTGAGAATAATGACAGAATTCAGTAGGAAAAAAAAAAAAGATGAATTTCAACATTTTGCAAGCTTTGCACTTAGATATCTTATTTCCGAAGAGGTCCCCACAGACCTCAATTGCACCGTCACAACAATCTGTAATATTACCATTAAAATCTATAGGGCTTACTATACTGACACTGATACTGTGTGTGGAGCAAGTATTAGCCCTATGTAGTGCTTCTAAGACATTTAGTGAAACGTAGGATAAAACCTAGTGTCCTTGAAAATACTCATCACAAAGACTAAAGCAAATGAAAATAGCACTAAGATGATCCCGTAGCAAAAGTCAATGGCATTTTCAGGTAACTCGGGGGTTGACATGTGGCTGGCAGCTTTTTGTGGAGCCTGTGAGTCCGGAGAACCTGGAGAAACAGGTTGGGTAGCAGCCCATGAGACAGACGTCCTGGCATAGCTGGAGAACAGGAGAGTTTACTTTGGGAACCTGCCATGTTTCCTCTGATGGCTTTGGAGTAATCATAGTCTTGTGTAAAACACTTTGATTTCAACAAATTAGCCATTTTCCCAGGGTGAAAAATACCGTGTTGAAAAACTCCAGCTGGATATCTCCATCTAAACCCTAAATCTCTGATTTGGACCTTTTCAAATCTTTCTCTAGTGTATCTTGTTTCTCATGTATTGCAAATGAGGCTTCATCATCACATTATTAGTGCTGGAGAAACCTCTAGAAGTTCTCAACCTTTCAGATAAATATTCAAATATATGTTGATGTCTTCAATTCTTTCAGACCAAAAATGTGCTTCTGTGGTATTTCTGTATGGCTTTTTTACAAAGCTGAAATCAATGCAAGAATTTCATATGGGATCCAGTACTTCTTATTCTCATAAGGTTTTAATTCAAGCTTTGTTCAGTTCTCACTTGAAATAAGGATTTTAAGACATGGACAGCTTCTGTACCAAAATAAACCAGGGATTTAGCAATATGTAGGACTTGGCTGCAATGGTAAACCTAAGAGAGGGAGCTCTCCATCCCTGTCAGTGACATAGAATAAATGATGGCCAGGGAATGATGGTCAGGGAGTGATACTTCTTTCACAGACAAACTGTCATGAGCTGACTTAAAGTTGCATTAATTTGCATTATTCAAACAGCTAATTTCGGTCATAACAGATTTGCCTTGGAAAGACAAATGTAGCCTCAAGCGGAGTGAGTGAGTGACCTGCCCAAGACTGTGGATAGTCACAAGCATATAGGTCAAGCTTATTCCTTGACCTCCTTTCATTCAGCAGCATATCCACAGATTGTATCAAAACAGTCCTGAAATGGCTCTCAGAGTTGCTCAGAGTACAATTTTTGTGGGTTAGTTTCAGCAGAAGAGAAACTCTTATTTGCAAACCAGCTGTGCACCTAAGTGGTCTGCACAGACCACCGAGTGTGGATGTGAAGCAGTTTCTTTCCTGAGAAGGACATAGTGCACATGAACACCAGGGCAGATCTGCCCTCCCTGTCCACAGTGTCTTGGTCTTGAAGCTATATTCCAGAATGATTTTCAAACCCTTTTTTAACAACCATCCCATGCATTTTTTCCCTAAACGCAGCATGTCCTAAACTAGACCCCCAAGTTGTTACACCATGTCTTCATATCCAGTGCACGTTTGCATAGCCTTCACCCTGCCATTCCTGGGTAACCAGGTCATGAAGGAAGCAGAAAAGAGGGGGGAAAGTTGACACGGGTATGTCCCTGCTCTGTAACTTAAAGCAGGTCCTGTAATGGAGAACATGCCCTCTGGGAATCGGTGCTGTTTGGAGTCAACTGCTTTTGCCACCAGAGTTGCACAGCGCGTTGCAGGGACATGTTAGCAACACCGCAACACGCCTGCTCAGCGCCTCCCAACACTTTTCTGAGGGTGAGAAGGCTCCCTGCAGGATTCACCATGCCTGGGAGCGACCAAAAGGGAAAAAGCCTGTCATTTGCTAGAGTTTTGCAAATAAACTAGA